ATTCCTGGACAGCTGGTCACCTAGAAGGGTAAGCATCCCTGGACTGGCATCCCTGGATAGCTCTGGACAGCCCTGGATAGCTCTGGGGCCCTCTGCCTGCCAGGGCTGCTCTGCCCTGGTTCAACATGCTGCAGTCCTGGGCAATGTGTAAATACTATGCTCAGGAGCAATAAACTCCAGCACAAACTGACCTGGAGTTTATTTAGTTGAATTAATTTCATGTGTAGATGCACCCAAGGAGATGAATTCACTTGATCCTTGAGATGAACTCACAATGTTAAAGATACAAATATTTCCCAAATACAGTATGGAATGTTAGCTGACAGAAGCTTTAAACTAAAATCCAGATACATGCTGCTTTATTGCTTTTATTTTTTTAAAATCAGGTTTGTTGTTCATGGCCTGGATACTGGAGAGAAGTACATCTTCCGTGTGAAAGCTGTGAATGCCATTGGAACCAGTGAAAATTCTCAGGAGTCTGAACCCATAACAGTACAAGCAGCCCTTAGTAAGTGTGATTCTGTGCGACTCAGCTTTTAATGAGTTAAAATTTTGGAATGAATTAACTCTTCTGGTCTCAGCGGCTGGACACATAACATGTTAAAATTAGTGTAGCAAACATTGGTTTTGTACATTGAAATAAGGTATACTGGTTTCTGGAGAGGAAACATGAACAGCTCCTTAGGTAGTTGCTACAAGATGCCATATTGCTCACCACTAGGTGATAGAGTTGGTAGTAGCTACCCCAGAAAAGAAGCAGATACTGAGATACTCCTGGAAAGGACGACTGAATAAACTTTCACTCCTGTTTAACTCCACATGAGGATCTAGTAAGTTATATTAGCATAGTTGAATACGTATGCTGCATGTCCTTTCCCTTTTTATATGAAGTTCACAGTGAGTTATACTAAAGTAAACATGCTGTATATTGAGTCCCATGCTTAATGGAGTGCTAATATGTGGGATTGTAGCATATTTATCTTAGTAGTGTTTACTCATGCATTTGGCTATAGCATAAATGGAGAAAATAAAAAGAAGTTGCTTATAAAAGATCATGTTAAAAATACAGGGCCAGATTCAGTGCCATATCATAGCTGCTTTGTTCTGCTCTGGTAATGCAAAAGCATCAGTCAATCTGATTAAACTAGCTAGAGGTTGCTGTGTAACAGCTGAGTGGTGCAAATAAGTTTATCATTGAATCCATCCCCTTGGGTTGGTTTTCAGGTGACACTATTATTGCAAAACTACATTAAACAGAAAAGTTTGTTTGACTGGCTCCATAGGGTGACACAAACCTTGATTCTCTTTTGACACAAAACAGCTTGAGAAAACCATTTGCATCCTTTCCTCTGGCATCCTGAAAACAATGATTCAATCTAAGCGATAGAATTTTGCAACCCCAGTTCTCACTGGCTTCAGTATGAGTTGCATGTTTATTGGAGGGCAGAATTATTCCTTTGGCCACACACAACTATTATAACCCCTTGTATTCTGACTAGGTTCCTCCACTGAATTCAGAGCCCTGAGACTTGAATGAAAATCCATAGAAAAGTCCTGCACTGGGAAGATCAGTTTGATTAACAGGGTATACTTTCAGTAAGAAAGACCTATAGCAAAACACCTAATTAAATCTGTTCTCTCTTAGAGCTGTAGACAGAAGATAATAAACACAGCTTACCAAAATAATCTTTTAAAAGATCTGCTGTTGAAAATCCCTGTTTGAAGTCTTTTTCCTGGCCTTTGCTGCTTTATTAATTACAAATCTGTTCTATTTGATTGTTTAGGAGGAAGTATATCTCATATTGGTAGGTAGTAGGTTAACATGTCTACATCCGTTCACTCTAGATTATAATGCCTACACTATTTAACGTTGTGGTAACTTATGCTAAGACACCACTGAAATTATTTAGCTAGCTGTGAAACTAAAAAAAAGTAAAAATCACTGTTTCATTTTTTATCAACATAGAATTGTGAACATGTATGTTGCATGGGGTGCATTGTTAAACACATCTTGCCCACTTGTGTGTATGTGTTTGACTAACTTTGATTCATGTCAGTAGTCGCAATGGGAAGCTAGCAGAAATACATATATAGTAGAAGTGATTCACAAGTGTGTTTGCAGTATTATGACTTTATAGATCTATATGAGTTTTTACTGTGTTCATTATTGCTTAAGATGAAATAGCAACAACAGGTAAACCCTAATTTATTAGTGGAAGCCAGAGCCACCATGAAATGCTGAAACATTTTCTCTGATGTGTGTCACTGAAATGTTTAATTATATTTGGCTATGAATGATCCTTCAGAGCATGAGACCTCATCTGAAAAAGGAACAACACCTATATGTGCTGATTACTGTCAGTACCCTATGCTAATCATTAATACAGCTATAAAAGTAGAGACCTTATCAAGGCCTGAGTTAGATTTTCTTCTGCTTTAACTGTGATACCTGACATTTCCTGAGGGTCTCTAAGGCAAGCAGCTTAGCCAGCACTGTCTGTAGCATTCCAGGTCCAGGAAATGGTGTTTCTAGGCAGAGTTGTGATCAAAGATGGCAAATGCGAAATGGTGCCAAGGCTGATGGGTGCTAATCCCCAACACATATTACAATTAAAACATGATTAACTGATTAATCCTGTGTTCTCCAGATGCTGGGGGCACTGGTCAGCTGATCAGGGCTCCCAGCTGGGGGACCACAATGAGGTCTCATGGCTGGGAGCTCCATCAGTGATTGGAGCTCTGAGCCATAGGTGTGAACCATGTGCTGCCATGGCTGTCAGCTGATTGGAGCTTTCAACCACTGGAGTGCATGGTATGTCCCCAGGACTGGAAGCTCTGATCAACTGATGGGGTTCCCAGCCACGGGAATGAAGACTGCCAGTTCAAGGGAAGCCTGGGATCATGTTCCCGGGCTTCCTCTGCACCAGCAATATGGTATGATGGGATTTGATATTCAGTACCACAGTTGTGCTGCAAGCCATGCACATGTGATATGGCAGGTAGTATGATTGTTGGGATCATGCATCATATCCTATTGTACCTCTTTTGAATGTCTGTCAGTGTCCCTAAAGTAGCTGTAATAAGGAGCAAAAGAAAACAGTCTCATAACTCTCCTTGCTTTGTGGGCAACATGCCTGCTCCTGACTTCTCAAGTTATAAGACTGTGGGTAAAACTTATAGACGACATTAGCCTTCTAGTCTCAACAAAGCTTGGGTTTACAAATCTTAACAGAGCTCATTGTACTTCTCTTGCAGTGCATTTTGAAGTGTGATCTAGAGAGACAGAGGATTCCAGAATAATTGGTCAAATGTTACTTTAATTAATTAACAGTATTAAAGACTCTTAAATAAAAATGTTCCTTCCTTTCACCTACTCAGACAAGTTAGTATATTAGAAAGGTGTTTATGCAGGTCACATTCTATTCCATTTGTACTGTTTTATAACTGTTGTTATCAGCATACTTGCCAAAGAATGCAAAACATGTTGATAACTGGGCAGGTATAGCAGCAAAAATTTTCTTGGCAAAGGGGCTCTTACTTGCTCTCAATTGTCCACAACTACCTTGCCTAGGATTCCTGTTTTCCTAAGTGCATTTTTGATTCCCAATTTACAGTTCATTGCAAAGCTGCAATATCTTACATATAATATTACATAGAAAAGAAGAGTGAAAAATACCATGTTCTGCAACACTGCTGTGCTTTAGACACTGCACTAACACTCTATATCCTTGTTTTCTCATAGCCTGTCCATCATATCCTTATGGTATCACACTTCTTAATTGTGATGGTCACTCCATGACTCTTGGCTGGAAACTACCAAGATTCAGTGGAGGCTCTCCAGTTCTTGGTTATTATATAGACAAACGTGAGGCTCACCACCGTAACTGGCATGAAGTCAATTCCTCTCCTATTAAAAAAAGGATTTATACGGTTGGTATTATTTTATTCCCTGCGGATTCAGCCACTATTTTTATTATTTATTTGCATTTGAAGAAGTTTTATATTTTTGGAGAGACATTATCTGAAGTTTATTTCCCATGACTCGACCAGTTCTTTCACCAAACCTGAGAATTGGAGTAGAGAGGATTGCAAAGGAGAATGCTGGCAATGCAGTATCACCCCCAACCACCATATGCCTAGAGAGGAGTTCAGAAATGGCATTTATGGCTTAAGAGTCAGTGTGAAAACCCCACAGGTGTGTCTCTGAGACCTGGCAGTGGAGTGAAAAGGCTGGTCTCCAGGGCTGAGCAGATGGGTACTGAGAAATGAGACAAAGGTAGAGAAACATGGATGGACAGGGCTAGGAAGTGCTTTTTAGGGCTGTTTATGCTCTCATAAACAAAGGGAAAATGTACAGTTAATTTGTTTCTAAGGTTCACATCATGCAATGTGGCTATGCTTGTACTTAGGAGGGGGCTATCTACATAGTCATTTGAAGGGGCGGGGCTGAATTGCTGATGGAAGTAAAGTAGAGAGCTTTTAGATGAACACATTATTTTGTGCCCTGCTAGAAGCAGGCTAGGCCGTCAGGTACAGAATATAAGAACAAGGGGATTTAAAAATTATTTTTAATGGCTGTATTGCCTTGTTAGTTACTTTAGCTAATGTTAGCTATGTTATATATTAATTCTCCTGTATTAAGAATTTCAAGCTAGATTTTATTAGCACCTGCTGTTCCCCAAGCTTAGTCTAGTTTCACTTTGATCTTGGATTTGACACTCTTTTAGATAACCTTTCCAACATGTATCTCTCTGTTCCCATCAAAAATTAAATGTTACATTAAATTCCTTTTATTATCTCCTTTTTCTCTAAAGAATATTGCCCTAGTTTCTCTATTCTTTGTGAAAATCTAAGATCTTCTAGTTCCTCCATCAGCAGTGCCTGTCCTCAGCTGCAGCCTCCCTTCTACAAATACAGTAAAACATGAATGTGAAAAAAATTCTCCAGACTGTGGAGGTTCCAACTGCAGAGCTCCAGTAGGGGTAGGGAGAAAGCCAAAGGGAAGTCCAGAGACTTTGCAGCCTGTGTGGGCTCCAAAACTGAATTTGGTGATAATGTACTCTTTGAAAAAAGCAAAGGGCTGTGGAAAGGACAGAAAAGTCACAAAGATCATATTTTAGGTATAAAAAACGGCTTAGATCCCCTGCATATAAATCCTGCTTTGCTAATCCCATCCCCAGTGCTTTCTCCTTCTTTCTGTTGTGCTGTATGGTTCAGGAAGCTCCTCCTAGTCCTATGTTCTTATTGCCTGTTAATAATTAAAATGAGACAAATAAAATCCCCCTAGAATGACTGAAAAAACTCACCTAAGCAAATCAAATGCAGGGACTTTGTTACTGTGTAGACATACATCTTCCCCAAGACATCAGTTTCCTTCCTTTTTCCTGTAGTTTTCTGTTATCTTCCCTTCTTTTATTATTCCAGGTTGATTATCACTTCCTGTCCTGGGCTAACCTGTGCCCTTACTCTCCCAATATTTGCCTCTGCAACCAAGTAGATGGAGAGAAGGCTGGAGGGAAAGGAGGGAACATAAGAGTCCTCTCCATCACCCTCTCCTTGTTGATCTTAGCTGGCCATTCATAAGCTTCACCTTTTATGGAGCTGCAGGTGTATTTCCCACTGCAGCAAGAGGGGGCAGAGGAGGGAACTGTGCCTCTGAAAGGTGTATCTGTCGGCCAAGGCTGGGACTCTTCCTGGGAAATCACAGGCTGCCTAGATGTTCTCATTTAGCCCTGTATGAGCTCTCTGGGTGAAATTGTTAGATTCTTGGACCTTCTCATTTTACTTTCTTTTAAAACTCCTGGCATGTTGGCAAGTGTTTAATAATGAATAAATCAATGAGTGAATTTGTATTATAGCTATTACATTTCTGAGGTCTTGAATACCAACTCAGTTATTTGTTTCTTGCCTCATCTGAAAAGGTAGAGGATCTGACAGAAAATTCCTTCTATGAATTCAAAATTGCTGCTACAAACATTGTAGGCATAGGCCAACCTTCAGATCCAAGTGAGCACTTTAAATGTGAAACCTGGACAATGCCAGAACCTGGTAAGTCTATCACTTCTTTATAATATTCAATGTAATATATATGCCTTGCAGCACTGTCCATTTAATACATGTACACAAAGCTGTGTAGGTGTTGCCTTGGGACAGAGGGATGGACTAGGGTTGAAATTCTATTTCCCTTTGTGTGCCTAGGTTGTAGCTTTCCAGTCTAAAAGTTGTAGTTTTCCAGTCTGTAGGTAGCATAGGCTGAACATGCCCAGTAGGCTGTGACTGGCTGAACATGTGCTCAGCCATGTATGTACCTATTGAATGCTCCCATTGTGGACACGTAAGTGATATACTGCAAGTAGATTGAGTTATTCACATGTTACTGACTATATCCTATAAAACTATTGATTTGAGTCAGAGACAGATCGATTGTGAACAAAAGTCATTGCCACTTGATAACTGCTCAGCGTTCTTTGTCAAATGAAATGATGTTTTTAATCTACTTCAAGAGACTTGAGGGTCGGTGTGCACTCTTGGAATGGACTATCCCTGACTAACATAACATAGCAATTTATAATAAGATGGAACAGGTAGGAAACCTTTACCAGACCAACAGTGTCGAGCAAAGACTAAGAGAATGATCTATATCCTATTGTATTCAGTTTGTGGCTAGAAACAGATGTCATCTTTGGAGTGAGATCAGCAGAGCCAGGATATTTCCCAGCACAGCCGATCCATTTCATTGGCATGTCATGCAGGATCAAGACCCTGCTGCTCCCAGGGCTTCAGGAACCCAATCCTGAGGGACAGTAATCCTGGGTGCTGTGCCGAGATGGGGTGTGGCAGTGACATAGGTACACCATAGGAATCCCCTGTAGGTTCCTTCTGCTTGCAGAAGTGCATCCCAAGTCAGCCAGGTATGTGTGCTGCAGGAATCCCATGTACGAGATTCTTGTGGTGCGTGTCTGCATGGGAGAAGGGAAATCCTGTGCAGGTTCTCCTTTTGCAAATGGGTGCCCTGAGTCAGGATAAAGCAGTCAGATATGTACACTGTGAGAATCTCCTGAAGGGGAATTATTGTAACACGCAATAAGCAAAAATATGTCTTGCCATTTATGGCTTGACAAACTACGACTACCTTTTGTAATGGCAACCTTTTAGGTATTTGGAGTGCAGCAATGGACATGGATGTCTACTTGCTTGAAACTTCTGCTGCTATGAAAATTTTTATGGAGGCAGAAGGGAGACTGTTTATACTCTCTCTTCCCAATGACTTCATAAAAGAGGGTTTGAGCCCTGAAGTATCATAAAAATTAAGTTGGTCCCTGCAGAACTTACTGTTACGATCTGCTGCTGAGATAGCAATAATTTCTGTGTTGCTGTCTATGCACCTCAAATATCAGCATTCAGAACTGTTAATCACAAACAATAAATTCAGTTTTAAAAATGTTGAATAAGCAAATGCCACTGACTTAAGGTTCCCTGTCCACAAGTACTTAAAAATATATATTTAGCCTTGAACCATTAAAGATTGCTCTTAGAGAGCATGCAGAATGATTTTTCCACCAAATTTTATTTAATATGAGGTTCCTTATTAAAGGAGTCCTTATTCAAGCTGAGTATCATTTTTCTCCATGAGTGGACACATTGACTTCAGTGGAATTAGTTATATAAGGCACTATTCTGGAAGAATAAAGGTAGCTTAGGCTGAACCTTAATAAAAGCATACATGATTTGAAGGATCCCTGGCTAGCAATATAACACATATTTCAAAGCTTGCTTCCAACAGTTACTTATGGTATTGAAATAATACAATTGAACATTGTACTTTTAGTTCAAAATCTAATTGTAATATTCTGGGATGCAAAACCAGGAATCTTACCATAAACTTCAATGGGTACTGCAGGAAAGTTCAGCAGTTGGTTTTTTGGGTTTTTTTAGACTCTAGAGTTAATACTAGCACTTTAACAATTGAGATAAATACGCAATATTTATTCAGTTCTTTGATAATGTTAAATTTAATTAATTAAAATAATTTTAATTTTAATTATTATGCATTTAATTTTTTTTCACTAAAAAAGTTTAGAACTACTTTTGTAAAACAAGTTAAAATTCTCGTGGTCTTATGAGTGCTTTACACTATAACTGTGAGGCTGGGCTGGAGTTTTAAGTGAGGAGAATTTGATGTTTCCTTTTAAATTATATATATGAAAATTAGCTTTTGCTTAGGTAAGAAACCATTTTAGCCAAATTCTTATTAAACCATTAAACTTTTCTTCAATAATGTTGTACTAGTATAAGGGACTATAACCTGCTTTCCATTATCATTACCCATTATCAAATTTTCTGATCCCTTTGTAAGTGTTTATGATCATCTAAATCTCAGTGAGGCAGTTACTCTGCAAAGTGGGAAAATTCTGAACTGATTACTTCTGCAATCTTCAGCAGGGCTGTCCAACTGATGGCCCACAAGCCACATGTGGCCTGTGAGGAGTTAACATGTAGCCCACAGGCTTTCACCTGGCTGCCATGCCAACTATTGCTCTTGTGGCCTCAGTGGTTGGGGTCTGCATATACCCCTTCTCTCCTCTGGCTTCTGGTTCCTGTCCCTGCTCTCAGAGGTGAGGCAGTGCAGTAGGAGTGTGCCAGGTTGCCTGGTGCGGCATACCTCAGGTGGACTGCTTGTGTAATTTATGTGGCCAGAAGGAGTGTAGGGGAGCTGGGCTACCTGAACTACAGGGAGGGATACCCACATGGTGCATGTGACTGGGAGAGGGTGGTTTACCATGTTCCAGGAGCAGGAGATGGGGGAGAGCTGGAATGTGAGGTCGGGAGCACAGCCAAGGGCGGACACAAGAAGTGTGGCCCCCAGGTCTGTGGCCCATGCTGCATATGGTTGCCCAGAAGTTGGACAGCCCTGGTCTACTAAGTCAATGTAGTTACATACAGTACACACCATATACATTAGCATAGCATTTGTACCCTTGGATTAAATATTATATATATATTAGATTGGACATTAGGAAGAATTTCTTCACAGTTAGAGTGGCCAGGGTCTGGAACGGGATCCCAAGAGAGGTGGTGCTCTCCCCTACCCTGGGGGTCTTCAAGAGGAGGTTAGATGAGTATCTAGCTGGGGTCATCTAGACCCAGCCCTCTTTCCTGCCTATGCAGGGAGTCGGACTCAATGATCTATTGAGGTCCCTTCCGACCCTAACATCTATGAATCTATGAATTATGCATGTGTGTGTATTTGTGTGTGTGTATGTATGTGTACACACACACACATGTAGAGCTATATCTATATCTATATCTACACACAAATACACACACACATAAAATACCTAAACCAATTTCTAAAGCAACATGCGGATAGACAGGAAAAGTTTCCATTTCCATAACGGACTACATGACCTTTCTGTTCCATGGACTGATTGCATTATTTTCAATTCTCATTATGCAGCTAACTGAATAGGTATCAATAAATTTCTCCCTCCTATAAACAGGACTGTTAAAATGTTCCCTAAGCCTTGTTGAAAGTAGTATTAGAAAATGACTTAGCAGCAATGAAGAGAAATTGTGATTTAATTAAGATGGAGCCAGTATCTGGGCCTATTACCCTTACATAAAAAGATTAAGGACCAATGTGATGTGGCAACAACATATTTATAATTACTGTAGTTACTGAGGAAGTCATTTTTAAGATGGAAACGAGTTTTTTCCACAGAAAGGCTACAACTCTATGCAAGATTTTCGGTGTGAGTAACAGGTTTTTAGTTCATCATACTGGGGTGTAACTAAATCCATGTAGGTTTTTTTTTTGTCTCAGGTGTATCTGTGAGTTAACAATATTATCTAATGAATTATTCCACATGAATGAAACAGAATGAAATAGTCCTCTGTCTTGTGACAGTATACATCATCACATCCTGCAATGCATTTTTCTTTCATCTGCTAATGGATACATAGAATCGTAGAAAGTTAGAGTTTGAAGGGACCTCAGAAAGTCATTTGGTCCAACCCCCTGCTCAAAGCAGGACCATTCCCAATTAGATCATCCGAGACCAAGTTTTGTCTAGCCAGATTTTGAAAACCTCGAAAGATTCACATATGAATCACTTCATAGGAAAATTAATTATTTGTGGTTGCATAGGCCACAGGGTTGGGATTTGCAGAGGACCCTATGAAGGTAAAATATTAAACCTGAGATCTGTTAACCCCTTTGAAACTTCCTTGCATGCAAAATCAATTAGCTCTACTCAGTACATCTAAAAAGGTTCACAGATTTATATTAAAAAACCGAAACATAACTGATGTGTTTATGGTGAAGAAACCCTTATTTTCCTACAAAGCATGCTTGCAGATTCTCTTATCCACCATAGAATTTCATGTGTACTATCATCATTACATAAAATATGATAGTGTGAAAAGAAACCCTGGTATATTCTCAAAAGGTTCAACCATCTGTGTTTTTGAACAGCAGCAGTATTAGAGAATCACAGGGTTCGAAAGAACCTCAAGGACTATCTACTAGGTTTTGTTAGCATGACAAACAACTGATATGATTACACTCTTGAACCCCATTGATAAAAATGAATTTGAAAATTGGAGGGTTTTAAAGAAATCTGACAAGCTGAGTGACAAACAACTGCAGTGAAAGTGAAGGAAAATGCAGTGATGGGAATATTACCCTACATGGGATTATAGGGAAAACACAGTTCTTTCTGTTTTAATTGTCCTTTGTTTTGGTTTTCTTTATAACTATGACCATCCACCTCACAACAAAAAACCTCTTTTATTGAGGCGGATATAGCCTGATCTAAACCCACTGAACTAGAATGGAAAGGCTCCCACTGACTTCTGTGGATCTTGGATCAAGCCAGTGGCTCCTGTTTCATGCACAGCAATAAAACTAAAAATATTTATGCTAAATCACCAATTTGATTCCAAACTCAGTGAGCAGTAGCAAATTGGAACAGTGAATTTAAACTGCAATAAAAAGAAGCATTTATTTCTCTTTGGAATATTTTAGAGTGCATGGATTTTCCAGATGAATAATCTTACTTCAGCATCAAACTACTGAGATCCTGCTAATAATGCAGCTTTGGAATACTAATGCCCATCTTGCCTAAGGACAGCAAAC